AAAACAAGAACTGACTAAATTCTGTTCAATGCAGTGCTTATATCTCAAAATTTCTGAAGGCTACCATAATTTGTTCTTAATTAGATGTTGGTGTTACCACCTTGGTAAGTCGCTGCAGGATTATTGTAGGTAATTAGTTAGTACAAGGCTCGATCACGCCATTTTCTTACCTAATTACAAATTATTCATGCTAATTATGAATTTTGAAAGTGACATCTCTCGCAATGAAATGATAACCATAATTGGAGTTCAGCCATTCTCCGTCTTCATTTTATTGGTGAAATACCAAAAAAAATTGATTTATATTTTTTGCCAAAAAAAGAAGAAAATTAAATAAAAAATATATGTTTTTGTAATGCCATTGTTATAGAGTATAGGGCTTTGCTTTATTCCAAGTTCTTGATTTCACTTTTAAAATGTCGAATTAAATTCCAATTCCAACATTGTCCATTTACAATTTCTTATAATTCCTAATAAAAATTTAAATGTGAACAAATGACTAATTTTGATGAGCACGCTTTTGGTGTCTATCAAGATAAAACTTTATTGTAGTCATATAGCTACACTGTTCACACTTGATCGGCATATCACCTGTGTGTTTTTTCCTCATATGTGCAAACAAACAAAATTTTCTAGAACTATGATATTTGCATAAATAACATTGATACTGTCGTCTATTGCAATGCTTTTCATGCTCTTCAATCGGCAATTTTGCATCATATTTTCGTTTGCACTTTGAACATTGATTCTCATGACATTTCATATGCACATCGAGAAGGTCTTGATCTTTAAAGAACTTTAGACATCGACTGCAACTGAATGGCCTCTTATGCTTCACCATGTGTCTTTTCACGCAACTTCGATATTCACTCTGATAATCGCATTGCTCACATTTATGCATCGGTCGGTTTTCTTTGTTGCCACTACATGAAGTCGATTGATCGTTCTTGGGTTGAAGTTGAATGCAGCGTTTTTCATGTTCTTTGCATGCCTCCGCTTTGCTGAATCGCTTTCCACATTTTATACATCGATTCTCGTGGCATTTCATATGCATATCAAGAAGTTCTTGATCGGCAAAGAACTTTGTACATCTACTGCAACGAAATGGCTTTTCATGCGATCCGATATGTCTTTTTAGATTACTTAGATATTCACTCTGATAATCGCATTGATTACATTTATGCATCGGCAGGTTTTCTGTGTTGCTACTGATGCGAAACAATTTTTTTGGCGGTCGTCTTTTATTTGATCTATCATTCGATGCACCTTTCGGTGTATTGTCGTCCTGTGTAAATGCTGATTTAGTTGCACTCAACTCGTTTTGGGTGTCCGTTTCCTTTAGTTCTCGCATCCGTATTTCCTTCACTGAAGCCGGTGCTGGACGCAGAGCAAGTGGCAATTTGGGTTGATGGTCGTTGGCCTTTACTTCACTTTCGATTTTTGGATTGGTACGGGTAACTCCTTTGCTCTTCGTATTCGATGGAAATTTTGGTATTTGAGGCACAGCATCTGTAAATAAATTTAATGAAAGAATAGTGAAGAAGTTTTATCGCTCCATTTTGCAAATACCTTCAATGTTATCAACATCAATGGGAACTTCTGATGCTGATTCTACGATCGACTTTGATGCCGCATTAGTTGCGATTGAACTCAATATCGCCGGTTCTTCTGCTTTTCGAGACACTACTTTCGCTTGTTCATTAGTCATATCCCTCGCAGTGTGTATATCGGATTGTGCCATTGTTGGAATACATTTATCATCGTCATCCGCATTCACAATATTCGATTCAACGATGGCATCGTCTTCATCTGGTTCACTACCGAAATCTTCCGCTTCCGAATGACTTTTATATTCTTCATTCATCTTTACTCCCTCGTCCACCCTGGGCCTTTTTATCAAATATATCTGTTCATTGACGTCAGACTCATCTGGAGTCTTTCGTTTCTCTGCCACATATGGTCTATTTGCCATTTGTAGTTGATCAATAGAAAACACTCTTCCATCCATCGCACTCTCGTCGAATCCAGTTCTCAACTCTTCAAATTCCAAATTCATTGTAAATTGATCGTATGTTTTTGAAACTCTGCAAAAGAAAAATGAAAATTTTAAGTAAATCGAGAGTGATTATACTGAGAAATGATAAAAAAAAAACACTCCAAATAAAGAAGGGCAAACGGAACGCCGAAAATGTCCTACCTTTTCAGAATAATTTGCAAGAAATGATTGCGAAAATCCACGTCGAATGACAGTCCCAATTGTTTGAAATTATCGTTGAGGCCTCTTAATGTAAATTTAGTCTCTCGTTCCATGCTATAAAGCATCTCCGTCAACATATCGACCCAATTTCGCTTTGGTGCCACCATTGTTTCCATAACACTAGATATCGGTGATTGAACTGAAACTAAAGAGAAATGGGAATAGAATTACTGTGTTAAGTGATTTTCTTTCCGTTAAATATGTTCGTCAAAAATACTCCACTGTTGCCATTTTCATAATTACCTTTCTCCTTTTGGTTTTGAAACACACGCAGTAAATCCAATGAAATCGTTCCTAACTTTCAAATTGTTCACTGTCAATTTTTGTTCTGCTTCTTTGTATTTATATCTCTTGTTGATTAATCGAACAATCGTCAGTTTTGTCGAATGTATAAATTGTTTTAATGAAAATTTGTTGATATGACGCTTATGGTCAATGAATGAGCGGTGTTTTTGACGTTTCAATATCCGGCGAATAAGTACAACCAATAAAATAACAGAGTAAATGTCAATCGGTGATTTGTGCGAACGCATACATTCAAATCACTTGGCGCAATGTTTTAATAGCGAACGTACACTTAAGAAACGTGAGAACAATACACACAACAGCAATGGAATTGTCAACAATTTTAACATCGTATTAGTGTTCAATATATG